AACTTTACTTTTCCTTATAAGGATGATGAAATCCTTGCTGTTAACTTTATACTGGAATTGTAAATGTGAAAATACATCCAGTAAAACCCAAAACTTGTAGTTAATTCTTAATTATTTATTTCATTTTTAAATTATACTTTAAGTTCTGGGATACATATGCAGAATGTGCAGATTTGTTATAGGTGTACACTTATGTCCCTGCAAAGGACATGAACTCAAAAGACATGGCATGAGATGGTATCTCATTGTGGTTTTGATTTGCATTTCTCTAATGACCAGTGATGATGAACTTGTTTTTTCATATGTTTGTTGGCCACATAGATGTCTTCTTTTGAGGTGTCTGTTCATATCCTTTGCCCAGTTTTTGATGGAGTTGTTTGCTTTTTCATGTAAATTTGTTTAAGTTCATAGATTAGCCCTTTGTCAGACAGATAGATTGCAAAAATTTTCTCCCATTTTGTAAGTTGCCTGTTCCCTCTGATGATAGTTTCTTTTGCCGTGCAGAAGCTCTTTAGTTTACTTAGATCCCATTTGTTTATTTTGGCTTTTGTTGCCACTGCTTTTGTTGTTTTAGTCATGAAGGTTTGCCCATGCCTATGTTCTGAATGGTATTGTCTACGTTTTCTTCTAGGGTTTTTATGGTTTTAGGTCTTAAGTCTTTAATTATCTTGAATTAATTTTTGTATAAGGTATAAGGAAGGGGTCCAGTTTCAGTTTTCTGCATATGACTAGCCAGTTTTCCCAACACCATTTATTAAATAGGGAATCCTTTCCCTATTGCTTGTTGTTTTGTGAGGTTTGTTAAAAATCAGATGGTTGTACATGTGTGACATTATTTCTGAGGCCTCTATTCTGTTCCATTGGTCTATGTATCTGTTTTGGTACCAGTATCATGCTGTTTTGGTTACTGTAACCTTGTAGTATAGTTTGAGGTTAGGTAGCAAGATGCCTCTAGCTTTGTTCTTTTTGCTTAGGATTGTCTTGGCTATTCGGCTCTCTTTTTGGTTCTATATGAAATTTAAGATAGTTTTTTCTAGTTCTATGGAGAAAGTCAATGGTAGCTTGATGGCGATAGCATAGTTACCTTGGGCAGTATGGCCATTTTCACAATACTGATTCTTCCTATCCATGAACACAGAATGCTTTTCCATTTGTTTGTGTCCTCTCTTATTTCCTTGAGCAGTGGTTTGTAGTTCTCCTTAAAGAGGTTCTTCATATCTCTTGTAAGTTGTATTCCTAGGTATTTTGTTCTCTTTGTAGCAATTGTGAATGGGAGTTCATTCATGATTTGGCTCTTTCTTTGCCAATTTTGGTGTATAGGAATGCTTGTGATTTTTGCACGTTGATTTTGTATTCTGATACTCGGCAGAAGTTACTTATCAGCTTAAGGAGATTTTGGGCTGAGACAATTGGGTTTTCTAAATATACAATCATGTCATCTGCAAACAGAGACAATTTGATGTCCTTTCTTCCCATTTGAATACACTTTATTTCTTTCTCTTGCCTGATTGCCCTGGCCAGAACTTCTAATACTATGTTGAATAGGAGTGGTGAGAGAGGGCATCCTTTTCTTGTGCCAGTTTTCAAAGGAATGCTTCCAGCTTTTGCCCATTCACTATATTGGCTGTGGGTTTGTCATAAATAGCTCTTATTATTTTAATATACTTTCCATCAACACCTAGTTTATTGAGAGTTTGTAGAATGAAGGGGTGTTGCATTTTTATTGAAGGCTTTTTTTGCATCTTTTGAGATAATCATGTGGTTTTTGTCACTGGTTCTGTTTATGTGATGGATTACGTGTATTAATTTGCATATGTTGAACCAGCCTTGCAACCCAGAGATGAAGCCGACTTGATCGTGGTGGATAAGGTTTTTGATGTGCTGTTGGATTCCGTCTGCCAGTATTTTATTGAGGATTTTCACATCGATGTTCATCAGGGATATTGGCCTGAAATTTTGTTGTTGTTGTTGTTCTGTCTCTGCCAGGTTTTGATATCAGGATGATGCTGGCCTCATAAAATGAGTTAGGGAGGAATCCCTCTTTTCCTATTGTTTGGAATAGTTTCAGAAGGAATGGTATGAACTCCCTTGTACCTCTGGTAGAATTCAGTTGTGAATCTGTCTGGTCTTGGGTTTGTTTTTTTTGGTTGGTAGGCTATTAATTACTGCCTCAATTTCAGAACTTGTTATTGGTTTATTCAGGGATTCGACTTCTTTCTGGTTTAGTCTTGAGAGGATGCATGTGTCCAGGAATTTATCCATTTCTTCTAGATTTTCTAGTTTATTTGCGTAGAGGTGTTTATAGTATTCTCTGATGGAAGTTTTTATTTCTGTGGAATCGGTGGTGATATCCCCTTTATCCTTTTTAAATTATATCTATTTGATTCTTTTCTCTCTTCTTTGTTAGTCTGGCTAATAGTCTATCTGTTTTATTAATCTTCTCAAAAAACCGGCTCCTGGATTCATTGATTTTTTTCAAAAGGTTTTTTCTTTTTTTTTTCCCCATTTATTTATTTTATTGCATTTTAGGTTTTGGGGTACATGTGAAGGACATGCAAAATTGTTGCATAGGAACACACGTGGCAGTGTGATTTGCTGCCTTCCTCCCCATCACCTACATCTGGCATTTCTCCCCTTGCTATTTTGATGTCTCCATCGGCTTCCCCAGATTCATAAAGCAAGTTCTTAGAGACCTGCAAAGAGACTTAGACTCCCACACAATAATAGTGGGAGACTTTAACACCCCCGTCAATATTAGATCAACAAGACAGAAAATTAACAAGAATATTCAGTACTTGAACTTGGCCTTGGACCAAGCAGAACTAATAGACATCTACAGAACTCTCCAACCCAAATCAACAGAAATTACAGCCTTCTTAGCACCACATTGACTTATTGTAAAATTGACAACATAATTGCAAGTAAGGCACTCCTCAGCAAATGCAAAAGAACTGAAGTCATAGCAAACAGTCTGTCCAACAACAGGGCAATCAAATTCAAATTCAGGATTAAGAAACTTACTAAAAACCACACAACTACATGGAAACTGAGCAACCTGTTCCTGAATGACTAAGGAGTAAATAACAAAATTAAGGCAGAAATAAATAAGTTCTTTGAAACCAATGAGAGCAAAGATACAACATATCGGAATCTCTGGGACACAGCTAAAGCAGTGTTTAGAGGGAAATTTGGAAATTTGCAGTGCTAAATGCCCACAGGAGAAAGCAGGAAAGATCTCAAATTGACATCCTAACATCATAATTAAAAGAACTAGAGATCCAAGAGCAAACAAATTCAAAAGCTAGCAGAAGACAAGAAATAACTAAGTGTAGTTAATTCGTAAGATTTATATAGAAAAATTGAAGAAATGTAACTTTAAATAGATTAATTTTATTACAGATAGGCTTTAAAATGTATGCTCTGTGGTATTTCCTATTTTGAAATTTATTCTGAATAATGTCAGATTTTCATAATTCAGTTAATCTCTGTTTGAAACTTTATAAATGAATTAAAAAAGAGAAAACAAAAACCCTCCTCCTCCTGGGTTCAAGTGATCCTCCTGCCTGACCCTCCCGAGTAGCTGGGATTACAAGCATGTGCCACCATGCCTGACTAATTTTTTTATTTTTAGTAGAGACAAGGTTTCGCCATATTGGCCAGGCGGGTCTCAAAGTGCTGACCTTGAGTGATCTGGCCACCTCGGCTTCCCGAAGTGATGGGATTACAGGCATGAGCTACCACAAGAAAGAAATACCTCTTTCTTAGGAAAAAATCTAAGAACATTGATGTTTATCTTCATGGATTTTTTTTTTGGTTGACTAATGAATGTTTGAATTTAATATTTCTTTGTGTATTGCACTTATTTATATTTTAGCATAGTTGTTTTCAAAATTTGACAGATAAATATATTTGTTCATCTGCTATAATATTTAGCTGATCCTATAATGCATTATTGTCATGTTTGGTGATTGTCTGTTGCTTAGAGGACACTCAAAACCTGAATTTTTTTCTTATAAATAGAGAGCAAGTCAGAAACAAATGATGTTACTCAGAGAATGTTGAAAATATGTTAGTTTTGCTTTCTTAGTGTGTGGGTTCTTCTAAATCTTCAGTTAAAAAAAATATTCTAGCCCTTTTGGCATTTGTTGATGCACTTGTTTCTTCTGTGCATTTTCCAACATGTCTTTTCTTATTAATAATAATCATTATCTGTAGTAGCTTATATAGGTATTTTGAGACAATTCCTTAAATCTATCTACTTCTACTAAAAAGAAGTCTTAGGTTGGATTGAAAATAATAATTCATTATAAAATGGTAGTTAACCGCTGTATATTTACTAGGGCAGTAGTTATTTTGATTCCATTTACTCTTTGAAGAAAAACCAAAACACAATAAATAAATAAATAAATAAATAAATAAATAAATGTTGCTTATAAGACTTTTCACAAGAAAGCAATGCTGGATAGGAGAAAAAAATTAAGATTTTGTTTTTAAATATTTGCTCCCAGTTGTGACAATTTATTTTGGAAAATTAGGATCAGATTTAATTATTGTATCTGTTTTTTGTATATGTCATTGTTTTGATGAATGTAATTTGCCAGTATCCTCACTGATGGTTGTCATAAATCTGGAATAAGTTATAGGTGATGGTGAAGTTTGTTGATTAGATAACGTCTAAGAGAATCTTAATCATTACAGGTTATAAAAATGTTCATTTTATGGAAATTTTTCTTGATGTTGAAATACTCTATTGATGGCATGCTTTTTCTTGCCAATGTACTTTCTTGCATTGAAATAATTGTCATTTGAAAGTTCATAATTTGGCAGTAATACAACCAGTCTGAGTCATCTATTTCCACAGCTTTGTTTAGTCTTGTGTAGATCAATAAACCAGAATATTCCCATGGGTTTAGTGAGGTCTCTAATTACTGTAGTGATTTGTAAAATGTGAGCTTTTGATCTGTTGGTAAACCTTCTTGTGTTTTCTTTTGTCTTTGCAGATAAATTATTAGTTATAACTGTAGCAACAAAAGAAAGTGATGGGTTCCATCGATTTATGCAGTCAGCCAAATATTTCAATTATACTGTGAAGGTATGGTATATTCTTTAACCTATGAAGATCCTATAATATGTGCCTAATGTACATTTTTCATAATAATAGCAGTATAATCTGTAATCCTCACAAGGAAGATAACAGTTTGTTACATAATTGCTGTTAGTTCATGCAGTTTTGGGGCTTGTTAATAGTTCCACACACAAAGAAGTAGTCAATGCTTGAGGTGAGGGATAGCTAAAGTACTCTGACTTGGCCATTACACATTATATGCCTGTATCAAAATACCACACGTACCCCATAAATATGCAAGTATTATGCACCTATAACAATTAAAAATAAAATAATACTGTGCCACTCAAACAATAATTTTTGCTAAAGTTCTTTATAAATGCACTCTATAAAACAGCAGAAAAATACATTAATATGTATTTGCATATATAACTAATTTCTTTCTGGCAGGTCACCTATGAACACAATGTAAATAAGATTTGGCAGGGACTTTTTTCACTGACTGAATAATTTTTTCTGTAATGGGTTTTTCTATCATAGTATGATTCTTTGTTTACAGAGAATTAGAAACATAACTGTGAAGAGGAAGAGTGTGCTTTTACTATTACTGAAAATTGCTAATTTTTTCTTGTTTTTTTTTTTTTTTTTTTTTTCTTTCAGAGGAATTTGGGAGCATTGTTAATGTATTTTTAACCAAATCTATTTTAGAAAACTTATCTCCAGCTGAACGTCTGATTGACAAATGATCACAGGGAACTTGGGGAAATTGACAGAACTATTAAACTTAGCTATGAGAGTCCTGCCATTTTATTTACTTACTTGTTTTTATTTAGTAGAAAGAAGTATCTATCAGCAAAGTTTTTTCTACAAATAAGAGGATAACAGGGCAATATCTAGATAGGAACACAAAAAGCAAAAACTTTTTTAAAAAAGGAGAAAAATTGATTTTTGTTTGGAGAAAAACTGAGCCATTTGAGTATGTAATATATTAAAAAGTAGTTTTTTATTACATAACCACTGGAATATTAGGTATAGCTATAAATACAGAACAGCTAAATGTTAATGTAGAACAGCTAGTAAATAGCTAAATTTTGCTGAAAAAGAGATCTAGTTGTAACAACTAGATGTTTAACATAGGATAAATGAAAAACATGTTAGAAATATGTTATTATGATAGATTAAAATTGTAGTAGTATGCACTGATGGGAGACACTGTGGAGGTAAAATTAAAATTAGGATAAAATAATGCTGAAATCTAGTTGGGGAATCGTTAGGGTTCAGACTGGGGAGAGAGTGGAATGTTTCTTATTTGCAAGGTACCTTGTAAGGAACTTTATATATGATGTGCTGCTAAGTCACTATGTGAACCATGTAAGGTAAATACTACTTTATTTCTGGATGAGGAAAACTAGTCCCAAGGCAAGTAACTATAAAGTATAATATCAGATCTTGGACCCTAGCCACATTTAACTTATTGGCATTTATGATCCTTTTGCTCTCTCCTCATGTAATTCAGTGGTTCCCAAAATGTGGACCCCAGACCAGCAATATCTGCATCACCTGGCTACTGGTTAGAAAGAAAAAATGATCAGGCTCCACCTTAGACCAACTGAATTATGAATTCTGGGAGTGATATCTGAAGTCTGTGTTTGAACAAGGTTTCCACTGATTTGTAAGCACACTGAAATCTGACAACCACTAGTGTAGTGGAAATAACTCTCTCAATAGAGAGTAGTCCTTAACATAGTGCATTGCACAGAGCAGACTCTCAGATGTGGTTGGGCCCAATGTTGCTTCTGGATTAGAGATTCCAGATGGGTTGTGAAACAAATTTCAGGGCCACAGGACGCCAATATTTAGAGCTAGAACTGTTAATGCTACTAGATTGGCCAACTTGAGTCCACATCCAAAACAGCTTGCGTTTTCTTGGGTGGTGTTTTTCCCTCAGCCTTCCACATAGGAAGTGATAAGTTATAATAAGACATTTGAGGCTGGGAGCCTCACAGGCTTTGCTAGCAAGATTTATCTTCAGCTCAGTGTTAAGTACAGTTGGAACTAATGGTATTTATTTTTAAATTTTATTGTATCCTTTTCTTGTGTTTTTATTTTATCCTTTTCTTGTGTTTTTATTTAATTTCATTCTCCATTAATTTCCAGATCTCTTAGTAGATCATTGTAATGGCAACTTTAGACCTTTTTTTTCGATTAAAGTAAGAGAAAAGGTGTGTGTTATGTGGGGGAAGGGACATGTATTATACTTTCTGTTCCCTTAGTGTCAGTGTGTCACAGTGCATTTCCAATTCAGGAAGCAGTTGTTGAGGCTCAAGCAAATAGTGAAGAGAAAGGGTACAGGGTTTTAAAATTAAATTTAAGTTAATTGTACTTAGGCAATTTCTTGCATTGAAAAATCCTTATTAAGCTTTTGAGAATCACATAAGTTTAAGATTGATAGGGTAAAGAAGGTGATTGTTTTCTTGATGACCTCTGCAATTCCCTGAAAAGCCCATTTGGTTCACTGGGAAAATCATTTAAAGGCCTTTCATCAAGGAGTCACTGAGCTTCAATGACTTTCAGTGTTGATCTTAAAGATTTTCTGCCAGATTGAAACAAGTGATATGGGAAATTTATTGATTTTTCTTCTTCATATTGGTGTAAACAAATAGAAATAAAATGATACAGTGTGAGAAATAACTTCTGAGTCTACTTCCTTGGATTAGATGCATAACTTTTGAGATGGTAAAATTGAGAATGGCATTTTCTGGGTGGATAACATTGAAGAATTATGATCTGACTTAGGCATCTAGATTTTTTTTCCTAGCATCATGATTTCATAAATATTAGAAGAGTGGTTATGGTACAGTTTTGTTCAAGTTGATTATATCTTTAAGTTTTTCATAGCACTTTCAAAATTTGAGTTTTGCTCAGGAATGAAATGTTGATTTTGTTTATAGGTCCTTGGTCAAGGAGAAGAGTGGAGAGGTGGTGATGGAATTAATAGTATTGGAGGAGGCCAAAAAGTGAGATTAATGAAAGAAGTCATGGGACACTATGCTGATCAAGATGATCTGGTTGTCATGTTTACTGAATGGTAAGAGAAACACCCTGTGGATTTTAAAATCTATATTAAATTACTTTTTAAAGAACTGAGATTATATTTGTAGATTATATATTAAAATATTCTATTGACAAGGAATCATTGTTTTAAAAAGTAGATATTAATCATAGTTATAAAACTATTTTATTAATCAGTTATGCTGCGGTAAATTTCTGAGACTGCATAATTTATAAAGAAAAGAGCCTTGATTGGCTCACAGTTTCACAGGCTATACAGGAAGCATGACGCTGGCCATCTGCTTGGCTTCTGGGGAGGCCTCAGAAAACTTAGGATCATGGCAGAAAGCAAAGAGGGAGTGAAGGCTTCACATGCTCTCCCACATGGTGGGAGCAGGAGAAAGTGAGGGGAGGTGCTCCATACTTTTAAACAACCAGATCTCATGAGAACTCTATAATGAAAACAGCACTAGGGGGATGGTGCTAAACTATTGGACTGCCCTCATGATCCAATCATCTTCTACCCAGCCCCACTTCCAATACTGAGGATTACATTTCAACATAAGATTAGGGTGGGGACATAGATCCAAATTATATCAGCCATGGTCTGACATGATGTAATGTTATCAAAGATGATGAATTACCATAAATGCTAATGAGACAACATGGCAAGAAGTAACATTTTGTGACATTCATACTTTAGTTTTGAGTTAAGGTTAAAGATCATAGTGAAGGGTAGCTTAATGGATTCTGGTTAAACAAAAGAAAAAAAGACCATGCAAAATTAGAAATACAAGTGAGACATAAGAAAGCCTGTAATACTAAGAAGAACCTTTAAATGTATTTTGTATAATATTTCCCTCTCCTAATTAAATATCCACTGTTTTTATTTACCATCTTCTTATAATTTTAAATAATATTAAATTGTCATGAGTTATTAGTTGCCACTTCTTTTCTTTTCTTCTCTGTATCTTATTTGTTTTTGTTATTAATTGCTCATTTTAAATCCCTGTGAATTTTCCCCTCTAACTTAGGAAAGTCTTTTTAAGTATTTTTCTCAATTTGAAAATATAAAGATACAAATTATTTGCAGATGAAAATAAGAGTAGTATTTTTATGCAAGTATGTAAATAAGAAACTTGTAAATTATTAAAAGAAAATAGATATTAATATAATGAAATCCCAGTGCCATACACACTTAAAAGTTTTTAACAGATACAAATAACACTTGCATCTGTAAAATTTTCCTGTTTTACACAAAAAATTAAGTTCTACTTGTGGTTACCTATATGAAGTATGGTAAGGCAAGTGTTAGCAGTAGTTTACTGGGAATTTTTATACAGCATCTGTTATTTTTTTTACACTGAGAAAAAGAATACAAAGTTCAGTAAAATTGCTTTCTAGATTAAATGATGAGTATGTTTTGGTTTAAAATTACCATGGATTTCAAACAACCGTATTCGTCAGCTTGTACTTGCCACATGTACATTTTGACTTTGGCTGTGAGGCACATTCTCCTTGTAAGAGTTACTACATATGAGTCAGAAATGATTTTAGATCGCCAAACTTCCTTTTGGATTTTAGGAAGAACTCCTTTTATCTACCCTTACTTTCACATCACCATCCCCCACCTCTGGCCCCCTATCTAGCGTTTAGCCTTGTGGATAACTGGTATAGTGAGGGACCTGTTTTTTTTCCTCATGAGAAGAAGGACACTGTAAGATACCTAAAGCCTGCTTGAGGTTGAGTTTGTTACTTTAGATGATAGTTTAAGACCCAGTTTGACAGAAAAAGTAATAAAATTTTACTGGAAGATACAGTATCTTCCAGGCAGTGTTAGTGTTTGTGATATATCACTGTACCAAACAGATAAAACTTCTGAAAACTCCTGTAAGAACAGCCAGCTAACTGAAAACATGGATCCCAGCTTAGCCAATTCATTGTCTAAGAGGGGTCATTAATATTTTCTCCATCATTACCAACCATGACTATCCTGTGAAAAAAAACCTAGGGGTCATGAGAAAGTAACCAGGAGGGTAAAGAGGGATGAGCAATTGAAGCCATTTAAGAGATTTTTCCCCCTCTTAGTTTTAGAAACAACACCTTTTTTTTTAAAAGTACAGAGTGATGAATCTAGTTGAAAACTGTAGGTAATCTAGGACCTAGGAGAATTAATTAAGCTGTTTGTAAATTGTTTGAAATACGATGCCCATTCTGTATAACAATTGCTGAACTCTTAATTAAGGTTAGCTCTTTATGATAAAGGGCCAGAATTCAGGATATATTCATTTTAATAAAACAAATTCTTATTTTTTATGGAATATTTTAAGGACAATTCAACTGTAATAATTAGTTTTATGGAAGCATAGGTCACTATTATATAAAAATATACACAGATTTATATACCTTTCTCCTGTGAAAAGGGTATATATACTCTCTCTTTCTCCTCTGAACTCAAAAACCACTCTCTTTCTATGGGCATGATGTAAGGGCGGGTTGTGGGTGCTCTCGGTGGCCCGTGTGGGCAGAGCAGAAAACCACCACTCTAAGCATCTTCTTTTTTCCATCAGTAAAATCCATGGGTGAATGAGATTCCCAAGTGCTTCAGCCCAGTCTCCAAGCCCCAGCTCCTTGTGATATATAGTGGTTTTGATGGGCCTTTTAAGAAACATAACTTTATTATGGTATAATTTATATAACATGCCATAAACATTTGTAACAGTCAATGAATTTAATTAAATTTACAGATTCGTGCAGTCATCCATATTATTCAATTTTAGAACATTTCCAATATTCCATAATTATCCCTTATGCCATTTAGACATGCTAAAAAGCCTGAATTAATTTAGAAACAATTTTTTGCATTCCTTCCATGGAATATGTGTTCTAAACTTTCTTTTGGATGAATATTTAAAATTAGAAACTCGCTCTTTATAAATATACTCTGTAGGGTAGATTTATCATATTTAATTTAGAGAGAAAATAAATATTTGACAAGGTTTTAGGTTATTCTCAGAACAAAGGGAAAACTGAAAATGTCCATGTAATAAATTGCTTCAATCTTTTTTTTAACTTATTTCATGCTGCAGTATGTGTGTGTGTGTCAGTGTGTGTTTTCTTGCAATTAATATAGGCTTATAAAGTTTGATAATCTCTCCTTGATTAGAACAGTTACCAAAAAATATAATGAATTTGGTGAGTTTTTTTTTTGAAATAGGCTAATGAAAATTTTAGGGACAAACATAATTAGATGGCTATAGACTTATGGAGAAAAATGATGTCATAAATATAATATACCTTAATCAAAGGGAATGAGCATGTTGAGTTTTATAACTGGGTATTTTGGATTTGTTTTAGAATTATGTTATAAAGCTTGTATTTCTTCTACTCTAGTCATATTGATGAAAGATGAGCAGACCTAATTATTATATGTTAGCCAGTGCTTGCTTATTATTTTTGAAAGGATAATATATAAACCAAAATATAACAAAGTATTTGTGTTCTTGGGAGTAAATTTGATACATACTGAATATCTTCACACAACTTTTGCTATGTTGCTTATAGTAAAGTATAAACCAACAGTCTCAGCCCTAAAATAAAGCATATGATCAAATAAGTTTTCCCGATTTGGGGACGTCAAATAAAGTCACCTAATAAAAATTCTGGCTGTTTGTTCCTTTTTCTTTTTGACTTAAAAATTTCTTTTAGACTTAAGAAAGTTATTAAGAAGAAAAACAGAAATAATGTTGGTGCTATTAATACTTGAATTTGAATTTGGGACAGGGCAGTAATTGCACTTTTTTTGGTGGCACTGTATGTAACTCTACTGATTAGCATGCAGATGTGCACCATGTTGAAGACTCCCAGTATATGAAATATTTGAAAGACATATATGGTGGTGGTTACTGGCCTTACAAAAAAGGAGCATTTATTTTGTGGAAATATCTATTCAAAGATATATAGAAACCTCCCGGTTCATTGAAGTATTTGTTTAAAGATGATTATGAATTTGAGGTAATATAAAAGAATTGGCTGTTGCCAACAAAAGACTAAACTTAAAAAAAATTGGAATGGTAGTTAGTGATATACTATAAAAGTTGATATATTTAGTTAAAATGAATATTAAGTGTAGTCATTATTTGAGCAGTTTCCTAGGTGGCTCTGATCTGCAAGGTTGACCTAAGATAAATAAACGCTGGTTATAAATGGAGGGATAGTTTCAGTCACACAAATCCCTGCCGTTCACTAGTGTACTTTGTTACTTTGACTGTATATGGGTAGTTTCTATTCAGTTATCTTGCTGAATTGTATGTTTCACACAGTGAATGAAGCTGGGGCCTGTCCCTCAATTGCATATATTCAAGATGCAGTAGCAAGAAATCAGTACAAGTTGGGTAACGGTGAATTACATTACAAGAAGAAATAGACCTCTCAAGAAGGGGAAATAATGGTTGATACTTTGAAACTATTTTTTGACATTTTTGTTGTTGTTCATCTGGAGAAATAAGATGACTTCTAAAGGCAGGAAAGCATCTGAACTTTTTAAATACCAAATAATTGAAATTATTTAAAAGCTGAATTTTGAGTAGAAACTATGAATATGAGGCTATTGCTTCTGATTTCATGTAGGCCAAGTTTTTTTTGGCTTCTCATTGATCATTATTTTGCTGAAAAAGTGGTAAAAGTGAACGAGTTTTCCACTTTGCTTTCATGATACATGTATTGAGCACAAAATGTGATCCAGGCATTGAAGTTATTTCTATAGAAAAAGAGATATAAATAGATGCTACCCTCAAGGAATTATCATTTATATCATACTAATTCTGTGGACAAAACAAAACAAACATTGTGGAAAAATAATGCATAGCTTTTTAAAAACTTGAATATTGGCATAATCTCTACAGAATCATTTATTTTTAGGAAAGTTGTGAAAGATTGTGTTTTATTGAGTCACTTAGATATTATTTTGAAAATAGCATTTTAATGATTTTGTTGTTATTGTCAAAGTATGATTTATATGTGTTGTTCTAAAGGTGATCAGATCTTATTTGTATTCTAGGATGTAAACGTTATATACTTCTCACAATTCAGAGTACATTTCCAACATGCTTGACTTTTATATTGTTTTACATAATTTATAGAAAAGACAGACTGAAAGTTTTTTGAAAGCAAAACTTTTAAAATACAATATTTGTAATTTTAACTAACAATAGCAGATTTATTTGACTCCTTCTTGGTGGTGGTAATATTTTAAGTGTGCAGATGCAAAGAACTTAGCCATTTGTGATGGACAGCATTTTATTATATTAGTGTAAAAGAAAGCCAAATCACATCATGAATCCCAATTTCTATACTACTACTTTCTTCTTCCTTTCTTTTTTTTTTAAAGGAAAGATTTAAATCATTAGCTGTACTTCAGTATATTGCACTGCCTTCTGGTTCATCTAAAATAGTGTGAAATATGTTTAGGAATTAAGTAGAAATTGATGTTTCTTAAATTGTTTAAATGTTCTTCTTAACATTTACCGAGTATGGGTGAGCACATTAGTGAGTAGATTGAAATGAGGAAAAAGCAGATGACATGCAAAAGAAGTGTTAGGTGTTCCCATATGCCTAGATTGCCCCTGGGTATTCTCATATGTGATTATTTTGTCTATTACATGTATGTAGGTGTGTATTCCCAAATCAGATTGTCTGCTTCTTGAATTTTATCCTTCTTAGGAAAATGTACTAAGCATCTGTCATTTTCAAAATATGATGCTGGATGCTGCTGGATGTGTAAAATATGGTCCTAGCTGCTCTGGCAGTGGCGCAACCTCCGCCTCCCAGCTTCAATTCTCCTGCCTCAGCCTCCCGAGTAGCTGGGACTGCAGGCACGTGCCACCATGCCCAGCTAATTTTTGTATTTTTTTAGTAGAGACGGGGTTTCACTATGTTGGCCAGGATGGTCTTGATCTCTTGACCTTGTGATCCGCCTGCCTTGGCCTCCCAAAGGGTTGGAATTACAGGTGTGAGCCACTGCGCCTGGCCTGAACACACTTCTTTTAAGATTCCATGCCGAACAGTCATTGAAATGTTAAACATACATTGATGACATTTAGCAGTTAAACACATTTTGTCAAAGATAATGGATTCTTTAGAAACTATAATGGACTGGTACAAATTTACTTGAAATATTAGGCAGTTATGGCAACTTTTGTAAATGACTATCTGTATGATTAAGTTAAACAACAAGTAACTGCACTTCTCACATTTCAATACTGTTTTATAATTTCAGTTTGGGAATAAGTGATTATTGAAAAAAATTAAGGCTAACACTAAAATAGCTGTCTTTTATTTGGACTTCATTTGCTAATGTAATGGAAACACGAGTAATTCAATGCAATCCGTATAATTTGAGGGAAATTTTGTTTAGTGTTCTATGTAAATAGTTGGCACAGATATTAATCTTGTGTTGGATTCTAGATTGTGACATTGGTTAGAGAACTTTTCATGGTTTATGTGCCTAAATTCTGACAAATGTATTTTTAAACATCTTTTTTCCTCATTGAACAGCTTTGATGTCATATTTGCTGGTGGTCCAGAAGAACTTCTAAAAAAATTCCAAAAGGCAAACCACAAAGTGGTCTTTGCAGCAGATGGAATTCTGTGGCCAGATAAAAGACTAGCAGACAAGTATCCTGTTGTGCACATTGGGAAACGTTATCTGAATTCAGGAGGTGAGTTAGATACTGGAAGAAAAGTTTAATGCCAGTTATAAATATTGATGAAACAACCATTTTTGTAGGTGTCGTAACTTTAGATATGAAGTTTTAAATAACCCTTATCTTATTATCACTGTATTGACAAACCGTTTTCCCATATATTATGTCATTTCGTTCTCCTGAAAACACTAGGTAATAAAAATGTTATTATTTCCATGTTATAAGTGAGGAAACTCAAGTTTTTCAAATTTAAGTGACTTCTAGATATACTCTGTTTTTTTTTTTTCCCATTTATTTATTTTATTGCTTTTTACATTTTGGGGTACATGTGAAGAACATGCAAAATTGTTGCATAGGAACACACGTGGCAGTGTGATTTGCTGCCTTCCTCCCCATCACCTACATCTGGCATTTCTCCCCTTGCTATCTCTCCCCAGCTTCCCACCCCCCACCCTCCCTCCCCTATTTCCCCTCAACTGACCCCAGTGTGTAGTGCTCCCCTCCCTGTGTCCATGTGTTCTCATTGTTCAACACATGTGTTCTCATTGTTCAACACCCGCCTATGAGTGAGAACATGCGGTGTTTGATCTTCTGCTCTTCTGTCAGTTTGCTGAGAATGATGGTTTCCAGGTTCATCCATGTGCCTACAAAGGACCCAAACTCATCGTTTCTGATGGCTGCATAATATTCCATGGTGTATATGTGCCTATACTCTGTTGTTAAAGGAAAAAAGTATGGATCCAGGTCTTTTAATTATGACACATTGAAAATTTTCTTCCTATAGGATAATAGGATTAGTAAGCTTACTTTAAAAAAGTTCATTCTTAGTCTGCAATCAAGTAGCTTTTAAGAATAGTTACTAATTTTATCTGACTTTAAACATTATTGTAGTAAATAAGTGATTTGTCTTGAACTCAGTAGTCAAAACTATTCAATATTGAGGGTCTGGGAATATTTAAAATACTGCATTAGCTGTGCTAACATGGATTAAAGGAACAAATTACCATATTCCTCAGTCCACTCTTTAGAAAATTAGATAAAATTTGACTTTTGATGTTATAATGGCTACAAATTTATTTTTTCTAGTTTGAGATTAATGTAGACATATGGACAACAGACGTAACCAAATAGGATGAAGGACATGTTAGAGAAACAAATTGGGTACAAATTGCAAACCACATTAGAAAAATGGATTTTGGGGGTGATCTACATGTATATAGCTAATGCGATCCAGGCTAGTTAAATTAAGTGCTGCTTCAGGTAGCAGCATATCTGGGTTCTAGGCTTTGCTTAGCCACTAGGAAGTGATTTAGTTTCTTGGTAATACCTCAATTCCAGCTCTTTGTACCCATAGTTTATTTTATCAACCTATTCCCACAGTTGTACCTTGGAACTTTGTTAGCTCATGTAGATTTTGTACTTTTGAAACATTAAATTCCAATTTTCACTGCCTAGCTTCAAATCCCTTTTCTTTTTCATCTCAGTATTTCTACAAATCATGCTTTCTGGGATCTCTTGACCATTTTCTTTTCTCCAAATCTATCTACTACCTTTGGATTTAGCTTCCATATTCAAGTGAGAACCCAAGGTTTAACTTAGTGGTTACTCTGTACTTAATGCCTTAGCAGTCTTTCTTTGTTGGATTTCAGTTCATGAACCATCAAAGCCTCTCCCTAAGACGGCTACCCACCCTCACTTCTCTCCTTGAGCATTCGGCTCCTGGATGGGTGCCGCTTCCACATCATGGCTTCCATATTGTCAAGACCTTAGTAACACATGGCTAATCTTGTAACCAATTCTAAGTCCTCCATTGTTTAAAACCAATTTTTTTTTTTTTTTTTTTGAGACTGAGTTTATCTCCTATTGTCCAGGCTGGAGTGCAGTGGTGCAATCTCCACTCACCACAACCTCCGCCTCCCAGATTCAAGTGATTATACTGCTTTGGCCTCCCAAGTAGCTGGGATTACAGGCATGAGCCACCACACCCAGCTAATTTTTTAGTATTTTTAGTAGAGACAGAGTTTTCTCCATGTTGGTCTGGCTGGTCTTGAATTCCCGACCTCAGGTGGTCTGCCTGCGTTGGCATCCCAAAGTGGTGGGATTATAGGCGTGAGGCATAGCGCCTGGCTGTTAAACTAATTTTTAAAGGAAGTATTTAGCTATGGAACTCTGAGACATGTTTTATTTTATACTTACTGAAATTTTTCTGAAGATGACTTGCATAGAGAAATCTCACATGTAAATTTATCTCAAATAGTGATGTATATACTCAGGTGGTTAGGTTTCAGACAGACTCATAGTGCTTTGGAAACAGCAAGAAATTAGCAAGCAAGTGCAGTTGTAAGCCAGTTTAAATAAGGAAATGGTGTTTATAAGTGGAAAAAGGTGTTTATAAAAGTGTCTATAAAAGGACATCAAAGCATCATCCTTATGCTTTCTGTAGTCAGAATCATTAGAGATTGGCAGAAAATATACATATGTTTAATAAAAGTTTGTATAGTTTTGTGGATAACATATTGACAATTATTTAAGGGACATGAGGTGTTTGTGGGTATATTATTTAGTTTTTAAAAATAGTTTTAAAAATAGTTTTTGTCCAGGCACAGTGTAGGGGGACCTAGGGAGGAAGGTCACTTGACACAGGAGTTCAGTGCAGCCTGTGTAATGTAGGGAAATCCCAACTCTACTAAAAATATTTTGAAAAATTAGCTGGGCTTGGTAGCACATGCCTGTGGTCCTAGCTACTTGGGAGACTAAGGTGAGAAGATTGAACCTAGGAGGTCAAGGCTGCAGTGAGCCATGAGTGCACCGTTGGATTCCAGCTTGGGCGGCAGAGTGAGAGTCCCATTTCCAAAAATCAACAACAACAAAAGTTTTTAATAGAAAAATGTAAATCACATAAAATATGTAATGTGAAAATACATTTTTTTTCATTTATTGAGGACATTTGGGATCTGTAAAAAATAAGGAAACAATTTTTGAAGAACAGTAATATAAGCCATTGGAAAATGTTGCATATCTCTATGTGGTACCTTTTTCATCATAGAAGATTGGCCATAGGATTTAAAAAATTCGTTATCTTTTAGTGTTATAGAATTGTTTTATTTGGCAAGAACACCAAAAAAGTGATCAACCAGTGGTTGGTTTTGGTCATGTTTTCATTTTGTCTTTTTTTTTTTCTCCAGTAACAGCAATTTCACAAGACCTGTCTCTTTGCATTCTTTTATTCTTTTAAGAAAATTTTAATCTTGATGGTAAAAAAATAGGCTTTCCTTTAATTCACAGGAGTAACATTGGTTCCTTTTTAAAAGTATTGAATGTCAATGAAACATCACAGCTTGGCTGCATTTCCATAATTCAGAGGAAGAGTCAGACAGGAAAAATGATTCAGTTTGTGTCTTTAATAGACAAATGTTATTGGCGGTCTTAATGCTTATGCTAAGGCCAAGGAGAACAATCCAATTTTAGACTTCCTTTTTCCAGACTATGACACAAAAGCCTAGCCAGAAAATGGTTTAGCAGGCACAATAATGACTGGCCAAAGTAATGGAAACATTTCCAAAATGTCCTAGATATAACATTTCTTTGGGATGTTTGCAGTTAGTGACAAATCCAGCATTCCTTTGATTCCATTAGTATCTCTGGCACTGACAGTAAAACCACTGTAGTGGAGATTTTATTCTTTAAGAAAGAGTGAGTTATCCACAGAGACTCTGCAAACAGCTTTTTAGAAGGTCAGAGAGAAAATTCTTGTCTCAATCTATTCTTTTCCTAGTAAATCTGTTTCCCTTAGGAGCTTTGGAAAACATTAGTTCTCCCTCTTTTGTCAGTTAATTTTAGAGACTTATTTATTTAAAAAGAGTCTGGTTATTTTCTGTTTTACAGTTGGTAGCAACACTGTATTAATTTTATATATAAAACAAGGAACACTCAATAATTCATATTTCTTTCAAAGTGAGCTATGAAGTTCCAACCTAAGGATTAGGCTTCATAGCCTCATAGCTCTGTGCAACTGGTCAATGAAATTAACATGACACCAATTTTGGTCTTTGAATCCTAACTTATCTATCTACTTTCTCTCTGCTGTGTTGCAGGATTTATTGGCTATGCTCCGTACATCAACCGTATAGTTCAACAATGGAATCTCCAGGATAATGATGATGATCAGCTCTTTTACACTAAAATTTACATTGATCCACTGAAAAGGGTGTGTAACAGCTGCAATATTTTTGTTTTATTGATTTTGTTGTTTGGTGTGTTCTATTTTGTTAATGTGGAGTGGTCAGAAACAAAGGATTTTATGATACTGTGGCAACTGGTAAACCGAATTTCAAAATGTTCTTGTTGATGCCATATTTTTAATAGGTGAGATTGGTTTATCTCACCTGGCTGGGTATCAGTGCTAGCTTAATGTTTCTTTATGGCTTCTATTCTGTGGCAAAGTTGGCAAACTTGCCAAACTTGATTGGATCAGGCCGAAGGAAAGAAGAACAATGTAATGCACTGCTATATGTATTGAAACACCAATTGCAATGACTTGATACTGAAGTGAAATGGTAGCCCTCACACCAATGTCATGGCCCTGCCTCTACTGCATACTCACTTCAAGGCTGCCTTAGAATAACAGAATAAGTTACATCATCAAAACTTCTGAGCTTAGAGATTTAAAGAGACAATAATGAAATCCCAAAGATTCTACAGAATGGCTTCTTTCATACTCTTGAATAAATAGCTGTTATTTATTAACAAAGAGCATTAGAAATATGTGTTCTTGTAGTCACTCCATCTTGCAGCTATAGCTGTTTTCTCACAAAAGCTACACCAAAGCCATTTGATATCAGTGAACTTTTGTAGTTTAAAAAATGCACTGTATTCTCATTTGTAGTCCTTTAGCCTTGTGAAGCCCTTCGTACCTCTCTGAGCTTCTTTGATCCTAGTTAGGCTAGAGGCTAGACTCTGTATCCCCACTTTATCAATAGAGAAAATGAGGCCACATAGTTGGTGACATTGTAAGGACTGGATCCTTGGTTCCCTGAAAACCAAAATCTGGACTTTTTTTCCTATTTCATAAGATAATAACATAGACTTTATATGTTTAATTTGCTACAATTGTAAAATAATATTTTTTCCAATATTTGAAATGACGTGTAAATAAAGCCACTCAACAGACAGTTTTTAATTTTGAAATTACCTGTGATACCACTGAGGACAGAGACCTGCCTCTGAGATTTGGAGCCTGGAGATCATGGGTGTTGGAAAATCATTGGGGTCAAAAGCCCTGGTCATTTTTCAAATGTTTGGTGGCCCAGAGTGGATAGAGCCTGTAGGATAGTTGTAATCCTTTTTAGGAGACTTTAAAGCCAATTTGTGGATTTCAAATATTTGAGAATATGGAGCCTGAAGATTTAAAGAGATGCTAATGAAATTCCTAAGCGGTTAGAGCTCGAGGATCCACAGAACGGTGTTATAGACACAGGCTCTTGCCCTTTATTCATAAGAATATTTAGACTGTAATAAATAAACGCACTCAAAATAGCAGTGGTCTAAATAAGAAAGATGTTTTCTTTATTTTTTTTCATCATATTAAAAGTAATTAAGAGATGGGGAGCACAAGGCTGTTAGAGTGATTTTATGCTGTTAGGGTGACTTTATTACCATTGGCCCATAGCTCCTAGTTTTAATCTTTCTTCTTTGTCCAAAATGGCTACTTGAGTTCCAGTCATTGCATTCATATTCTGGGCAGCTACGAGGCAGAGTAGTGAAAACAGGCCATCTCAGTTTCATTTCTCTTTAATTAGCTTTGCTAGAAGTCTTACTGAATAGTTTCTTACACTTTGATCAGAACATATTTATGTGGCCACTCATAATACCCAAAGAGAAAAAATGTTTTTTATTTTAAGCACATGTATCTACTGAAAATCTGAGTTACTTTATTGGGGAGTTAAGGGAATATTGGGTACAATTAGCAGTCTCCCATAGGCCCTAGAGAGAACATTCCTGAAACTGATGTAAGTGAAACTTTGGAGAATAGTAAAACAAGATTTTCTAATTTGAGAATACTTTGATCATATTTACCAATATAAGTTAATATTTCATCAACTTATTTATAGATTGGATACAGATATAAAAGTTACTGAATGGTGTGTTTGTAGTTGTGGTCGTTAGGAAACAAGATTTTCTTTAAGTGTGTTTTGCAATTAGTTGCAACTATAGCTGTTTCTGTGCCTTAGCTAACTACTTTGATTAAACACTTAAGTTGTAAGAATGTTAAGCTTTAAATTCCCCCAAAGAAATATATATTTAATTATACTTTAAGTTCTGGGGTACATGTGCAGAAAGTCCTGGTTTGTTACATAGTTATACAGGTGCCATGGTGGTTTGCTGCATCCATCACCCCATCACCTGCATTTGGTATTCTAATGCTATCCCTCCACTAGCTTCCCATTCCCCAACAGGCCCCAGTGTGTGATGTTCCCCTCCCTGTGCCCTTGTGTTCTCATTATTCAACTCCCACTTATGCGTGAGAACATGCAGTGTTTGTTTTTCTGTTCTTGTGTTTTTCTGTTCTTGAGAGTGTCGGTTTCCACCTTGAACAGTGTCCTTGCAAAGGACGTGAACTCATCATTTTTTATGGCTGCATAGTATTTCATGTTGTATATGTGACACAATTTCTTTATTATAACAGAATGTGCATGTGTCTTTCTAACAGAATGATTTATAATCCTTTGGGTATATACCCAGTACAAACTATATTAATATGATAGGAATATTTGCTGTTTTTGTTGTCATTTTCAGTATCGTTTCTATTATTATTTTTTAGGAAGCTATTAACATCACATTGGATCACAAATGCAAAATTTTCCAGACCTTAAATGGAGCTGTAGGTATGCTTCCTAAATACTGGACTTCTTACGTATACAAACAAATATCTGCATTTTCAACTATCTTTAGGGGCTGTGACTAAGGTTGAGAGTGTAAATATTGTAACTTAAAAAAAATACAGGACTTGAAATTAACTTGATATAGTTCAGTACATTCGATTAAAATTATTTCCCATGACTAATGTGAAAAAGATAAGCTTCTGGCTTTAGGTAACTTAAAATTTAGTGTCCCACCATTTGGGGACTTTAGATAAGTTTATGAATTAATTACACTTCATATTACACATTTTTCAGTGAAATTCTTTGTATTGCGAATTACCCAGAGTATTAGAGTAAATCCTTTTGACCCAGCTGAAAGATAACTGGTGACAACTTAACAGACTGGGAAAGAGAGAGAGAGAGAGAATGCCCATGTGTGCATGTGCATATGTGCCTGTGCATTATAGATACATATATCTTGCTAAAATACATTAAAGATAATCAATAAAGTAAAATTTAAAATATTGTAATTTAAATACTTTAAAATATATGCATAATAATTTTAAATATATTGCAGTTTGATAACAATACTTCAAGTCAGTTAATTTAGTAAAAAGATTATCAGAATCTAGTCAGGCATGGTGGTATGCACCTGTAGTCTCAGCTATTTGAGAGGCTGAGGATTGCTTTATCCCAGGAGTTCGAGGCTGCAGTGAGCAGTGGTTATGCCCTTGCACTCCAGCCTGGGCCAGAAAGTGAGACCCAATCTCTTAAAAAAAAAAAAAAATTCTCATAATGTAAAATGTTTAGTTTGGAGTGCTTGGGAAATGAACCAGATTTTTTTTTCAAAAAAACTGCTCCTGTTCCTCTCTGACTTGAGTTTTATCTTGATTATTGTTCTAGGTCTGATTTTTAAGAACTATAAATATTATCTTTGGTAGTCAGTTGGAGAAACCTTGCTTATGTCAGACAATATTCTATTCACCATGCATATGTTGTTATTATCTTCATAATAACCCTCAAAGGCCGGCAGGGATACCGTTTGATAGATGACTAAAATGAAATACTAATTTAACTTGTCCAGAATAACATTACTATGAATGGGCAAAGGCAGGATTGCCAGATGAATTATTCTAACAGACAGCTCAATGGTTTACCACCTCAATCATTTTACTGGTGCCAGGTTGGAGTGAGTTTGCTATCTGTACCTGTTGTCACTGTCATCTTTCATTTTGGGTATCTGCTGACTTGGAGTAGATGAAGTTACTAAAAGTGTTGTAGCCCTTGAAATATTACGTACATGAGAAATTTTGTAATGATAACATACATACATACCCGCACAGACACACGAATACAGACACATTTTAAATTACTAAAACCTATTTTCTCTTTTTAAACCAGATGAAGTTGTTTTAAAATTTGAAAATGGCAAAGCCAGAGCTAAGAATACATTTTATGAAGCATTACCAGTGGCAATTAATGGAAATGGACCCACCAAGGTAAGTCACAGTTACTTTTATCTGGCTATTTCTTGGAGATAGACTATGGATTGATATGTGTAATGTCATCTATTTTATTTTCTAAAATTTCTTTCAAAGACTTAATTTTGGTGCTAAAATAAAGGCTTCATCTTTTACGCAGTATATCATCTGGTTTCATATTAATTAATCAAACTGATGATTTTTCCTCAGCAGTGGTAACCTTTTATTCTATTTATAGCACATTTAGTGTTTTATTAAATAATAACTAACTTGAAAGTGAGCCACATTATAAGAGTTTCTGAATTGTGTGTTTGTAGCTGCTGTCATTAGGAAATAAGATTTTCTTTAACTGTATTTTGCAATGAGTTGCAACTATAGCTGTTTCTGTGTCTTAGCTAACTACTTTTGTCATCTACATATTTTGATTGGATACTTAAGATGTAAGAATATTAAACTTTGGATATGTGTAATGTCATGTATTTTATTTTTTAAGATTTCTTTCTCTATGAGAGCCACATTTGTGTCATTCTGTGGTATCATTTCTCAATAGGAATTGCTCGGATCATTAAGAGATCATTTAATTCACCTGACTTGTCATTTTCTAAGTTAACAACACTGTTAAGATTGGGATATTACAATATGGCCAGAAAGCTTCCTCTTGCTCTTATTTCATTAATTACAGTTAATGAAAGTAACATAATTTGTCTAACAAAAATTTGGATGCCTTTCTGTTTCAAATATATAGATTGAGCTTGCTAAAAATGTTATTGACTGCAAAATTTATAGATGAAAACTTTGTTTTGCTTGGGTTCAAGCAAGCTGGAACATAAATTGCATTGAAAAAATATAGTAATACTGTGCTTAAAACAACCGTTTGACATGCTTAACTGCCTGGTTTAGGTGCCTAGAAAAGAGATTAACAGATTTTTATTGTGGGAAGAGAATATGGGGTGGGGGTAGCCTTCTGTTCCAAAGGAGTGAGTGATCTGAATTCCAGTAAAAGCTATGTGAATAGAAATAAATGCAAGGGAAAACCTACCCTGGCAATGGCTGCTCCATCAAATTTAAAGAAGTAGATTCCTATCTCTTCTAGTTAATCTTTCCCCTTTGGTTTAAATCCCATTCCATCTTTACTACAAAGCAGCCTCTATCTTGTGCTCCCCTTCAGTCTCTATCCTATAAACAGTTTCCCCAGCTCTGTCATCTCCTTATTAGCATTTTAAAGACCCTTTAAATACTTTTACACAGTGTATCATCTGGTTTCATATTAATTACTTAATCAAACTGATGATTAATTAACCCAAAGCAAACCTAGCCAACACAAGGTAAAACATCCTCTTCAGTCCACACTGCCTTCCAACCTGCACTTGGCTTTTCTCCTCCCCTTCACAGCCAAACTTTCTAAAATATAGACAACTTGCTGTCACTACTCCTCTTCCCATCACACCAAGAAATGCTCCTGTTAAGGTCTGTTGTGAAATCTTTGTTGAGCAGTGGACAACTGCTCAACTTCAGCCCTTATTTTTATTTTACCTAAAGACAGCATTTTACAATATGTTGATCTCATTTGGTCCTACTTGTATGCTCTTTTCCTTTGCTTCCGTGATGCTCTGCTGCTTTGTCTATTAATTTTCTGCGCTTTTCTCTTCAATCTCTATTGTTCTTTAAAATATTTATTTTTAGAAATTTTATAACTCTGTGTACATGTGGTGACCCTCATCCTATTCTGTTTTATTAAATGTTCACAGGGGCCTGTCTGAGGCCTCTTCCTTCTCTTTTCCATATACACTGTTGGGTAATTCGAGTCATTTCCTTGTCAGTGAATTCTCTCAATGCTGGTGGTTTTCAAATCCTTGCTCTAACTCCTGTGTCTTTCCTAAACTCCAGGTCAGAATACTCGAGTCATAGATTCGTTTTTGTGTCGAATATACCCAGAGATTAAGATTTGCAGCATTACTTCCCCTTATACCCAGGGCTTAACCAGAATCTGGGTTTTATTTCAGCTCCAGACACTTCCCACTCCGACAGCCCTCTGTTCTAACTTCTGTGCATGCTGGTTTTATCTCTTTTCTCAGTGGCCACAGCAACTTTCTTAGTTCAGGCATCTTGCAACCTCCTACTGGTAGCAATCACACCCCCAGCAGCCTGGAACTAGAGTACTCCGCCAAAGCAGAAACCCGTCATCTACTCACTTATATAATGACTTTCTGTGAACTTAGGTATAAAGTTGAAAATTCTCAATTTATCTTACAGAGCTCTTTATTTTACTCCTGCTTTAGTGGCCACCAGTCTACCACCCTATTCCCTCTTTCCCTCACAACACTACACACTATTCATACCCTTCTCACATTCAGTTTCTCTTCCTTTCTCCCTCTCTGCTCAGCAACACTATATTACTTTCAACTTTGCAGAAGTTTCATGTTGCTTTGTCTGAAAGTGTACTGTACATGCTTTTTATTTATTCTGGAATCCTCTGCCCCTAATTCCCACCTACTGCATCCCTACCTGCTAAGTTCTCCTTTTCTTTTAGGTGTCAGTGTAGTCTTTACTCTTCGGGTCTCTCGTGTGCTTTTGTAATATCTAGAACTACTTCTATTACAGGTACACATCACACACTGGACGGGAATGGTGTTTGCCTGTTTTCTTGTCCCTCTTACTTATTAGGCCTTTGGTCTAGGAATTACAGAAATCTTATCTGTCTTGTTTACTTTTCCCCCCGCCCAGGGCCAAGCACATGTGTAGCAAATATTAAGCTTTCAGCAAATTTTAATTGAATGTGAGAGTCAATAATCTTATGACCTATCATTATTCTTGGGAGTAATATGGCAGATTATTTTCTGGCGTTATCAAATTACTGTTGGTCGGGACACCTGTAATCCCAGCACTTTGAAAGGCAGAGGTGGGTGGATCGCTTGAGGTCAGGAGTTTGAGACTAGCCTGACCAACATGGTGAAACCCCATATCTACTAAAAACACAAAATTAGCCAGGCATGGTGGTGCAAGCCTTTAATCCCAGTTACTTGAGAGCCTGAGGCAGGAGACTCACTTGAACCTGGGAGATGAAGGTTGCAGTGACCCAAGACCCATGTCATTGCACTCCAGGCTGGCCAACAAGACTAAAACTCTTATCTCAAAAAAAACAAACAAACAAACAAAAAAAATCACTCTTGGTCACTGTAACTTTCCCTAGGCAAATTTGATAAATGAATCCTTTTACTACGTGTGTATATATACTGTTTTAGCTCTCTATGATACTGTCAGTGTCAGTTAGTCAAGAGCTAGAACAACCCCACTTTTTCCATAACTAAATAATATGCTATTCTTCCTTGGTAATATAGTAATCAAATTTACGCCAGTGTGGTGGTTCACCCTGTAATTCCAGCAGTTTAGGAGGTGGATGTGGGCAGATCACTTGAGGCTAGGAGGTCGAGACCAGCTGGCCAACATGGTGAAACCCTGTCTCTACTGAAAAAAAAAAAAAAAAAAAAAAAAAAAAAAATCTGGCGGGTGCCTATAATCTCAGCTACTTTGAAGGCTGAGGCATGAGAATTGCTTAAACCTGGGAGGCAGAGGTTGCAGTGAGCCAAGATTAGGCCACTGCATTCCAGGGTGGGTGACAAAGTGAAACTGTGTCTCAAAAATTTAAATGTCTATAAGGAGTGATTTTGGTCCTGAGAATTTAGTGATTATGGATAAGGTCTTATGTTCAGTGATTTCAACGTGTTCACCAATTCCTTCCAAATTTCCAGGATGATGCTGACTGGAGTTTTAAAAAGTGACTAAAGGACATATCAGAAGAAAGAAGCACTCATCTTTAATAATTTAGAAAGACTTAAGTTTACTAAGGAATACTAAGTGTTCTTGGAAACATTTTCAGTTTGCACTGTCACTGTTTCTGGCATTTGAAGCTGTGTGCTGCTCCTATTATGTTTTCTCTGATATGATCCTACCTAGTTTATTTTGTTGTTATTCTATTAGACAGTAAAATATGAAGTTTCATGATAAACAGTATATTTGATATAATACAAAAACTTGAGAAAAATTGAATATGTAACATTTAACACTAATACTTTATAATATTGGGTTAAAGTTGAATAAATAGAAATGAGTATGTTACATATTATTCTTATCCAGGCTGATAGGAAAAGAAAGCAGATTACTACAAACTTTTTTAAACCTTTATAAAAGGTGGAAGGATTTTTGGTATGAATTTTTGTAAGTTAGTTTTACTTATTATTTTGTTTAGTAACAGATGTTTATTATAACAGTGTTTTGAGCCATAATATTGACCTAAACATTTAAACAATTTTTTCATTAAAAATTTACATAATCTGTAAGTGATGAAGTATTGATAGTATGTTGATAATACTGAAGTATATAAAATGAGCTTATTTCATAATTTCCCCAAGTTTTATGCCATTAGAAAAAATAATTTTAATAATTTTAAATAATTTAAAAAATCACATACCGCCCTCCCATATGGTTTTAGTTCTTAGCTGCTTTCAGTTTTTATATCTCCTCAGTATATATCTATGAACATTCATATTTTCATTTGTTTTCTTACAAGTATATAAACAATTTTGTGTTTCTTAACATTTTATATAAAATATGTTTAGGTATTTCATTATTTTTATACTTATCTGTATAAATCTAATATGAATCAATTTTTAGATAGAAACTGGTTTCTAGTTTGAAGCTTTACTTTTTATTCTTGAAATCCATTTATGGTGAGTAATATGTAAGATGCATATTTTAATGTTCAGCCTTTTCTTTTAAATATCAAACAATATACATCTTAAAGTAATTACGAAATTGCTAGCTTTTTAAAAATATTTTATGTTAAGTTCTGGAATACATGTGATGAACGTGCAGGCTTGTAATAAGTATACATGTGCCATGGTGGTTTGCTGTGCCTATCAACCCATCACCTAGGTTTTTAGTTCTGCATGCATTAGGTATTTGTCCTAATGCTCTCCCTCCCCTTTCTTCCCACCCCCAATAGGCTTCAGTGTGTGGTGTGAAGTTCCCCTCCCTGTGTTCATGTGTTCTCATTGTTCAGCTCCCACTTATGAGTGAGAACATGTGGTATTTGGTTTTCTGTTTCTCTGTTAGTTTGCTGAGAATAATCGTTTCCAGCTTCATCCATGTCCCTGAAAAGGACATAAACTCATTCTTTTTTATGGATGTATAGTATTTCATGGTGTACATGTGCCACAATTTCTTTATCCAATCTATCATTGATGGGCATTTGGGTGGATTCCAAGTCTTTGCTATTGTGAACAGTGCTGCAATAAATATATGTTTGCATATGTCTTTATAGTAGAATGATTTATAATACTTTGGGTATATACCCAGTAATGAGATTGCTGGGTCAAATGGTATTTCTGGTTCTAGATCCTTGAGGGATCACCACACAGTCTTCCACTATGGTCGAACTAATTTATGCTCTCACCAACAGTATAAAAGAGTTTCTATTTCTCTGTATCCTCACCAGCATCTGTTGTTCCCAGACTTTAATGACTGCTATTCTAACTGGCATGAGATGTTATTTCATTGTGGTTTTGATTTGCTTTTCTCTAATGACCAGTGATGATAAGCAGCTTTTTTTTCATATGTTTGTTGGCAACATAAATGTCTTGTTTTGAGAAGCGTCTGTTCATGTCCTTCAATCACTTTTCTTTTTGATTTTTTTTTTTCCTTGTAAATTTGTTTTAAGTTCCTTGTAGATTCTGGATATTAGACCTTTGTCAGATGGATAAATTGCAAAAATTTTCTCTCTTTCTTATGGTTGTCTGTTCACTCTGGCAATGGTTTATTTTGATGAGCAGAAGCTCTTTAGTTTAACTAAATCTCATTTGTCAGTTTTGGCTTTTGTTGCCATTGCTTTTGGTGTTTTAGTCATGAAGTCTTTGCCCATGTCTATGTCCTGAATGGTATTGCCTATGTTTTCTTCTAGGATATTTATAGTTTTAGGTTTAAGTCTTTAATCCATCTTGAATTGATTTTTGTATAAGGTACAAGGAAGGGGTCCAGTTTTCTGTTCTGCGTATGGCTAGTCAGTTTTTCCAGCACTATTTATTAAATATGGAATTCTTTTCCCATTGCTTGTTTTTGTCAGGTTTGTCGAAGATTAGATGGTTGTAGATGTATGGTATTATTTCTGATGCCTCTGTTCTGTTCCATTGGTCTATATATCTGTTTTGGTACCAGTACCATGCTGTTTCAGTTACTGTAGCCTTGGAGTATAGTTTGAAGTCAGGTAGCATGATGCCTCCAGCTTTGATCTTTTTGCTTAGGATTGTCTTAGCTATAAAGGGTTTTTTTTGGTTCCATATGAAATTTAAAGTAGATTTTTTTTTAAATCTGTCTAGTATTGTGAAGAAAGTCAATGATAGCTTGATGTGAATAGCATTGAATCTATAAATTGCTTTGGGCAGTTTGGCCATTTTCATAGTATTGATTCTTCCTATACATGAGCATGGAAAGTTTTTTTGTTTATGTCCTTTCTTATTTCCTTGAACAGTGGTTTGTAATTCTCCTTGAAGAGGTCTTTTACATCCCTTGTAAATTGTCTTTCTAGGTATTTTATTTTCTTTGTAGCAGTTGTGAATAGGCATTCACTCATAATTTGGCTCTCTGTCTATTATAGATATATAAGAATACTTGTGATTTTTGCACATTGATTACAAAGAGAAATTCAACAGAGGAAGATCGAATGACCTTATCTACACATGAACATAAGTCATTTGTGAAACTGATTTGTAGTAAAAATAGAGACGTTAATTTTGTGCTTGAAAACTATAGTATTTGGGTCACTGTGACCTTGAATAATTCGATATAATATTTAAAAGGAAGGAAGAGGAAAGGATTTGGGTGGAAAAGTTTCTCTGTCAATGAAAATGACATCATACTTGGAAACATTTTGATAATTGTGAAAGCATCAGGAAAATACTACCACCTAGTAGGCCAGGAGTGTCCAGAACAGCCTAACTGCGTAAATAGCTGCCTGCATTATCTAGAGCTGCCAGCAGAAGTGTCTACAGTTTTCATGAAGAAAACAGATGTAAATGGGGGGTGGTGATGTGGATAACATTTACTTGTGTGGTGAGAGGTCCAAAAGTGGGAAGTTTCTAGTCAAAAGTAATGTTTCTAAAATATCTTAGTTATCTAGGAAACAAATTGAGGTAAAAAACAGAAGTAGAACAGTGTTGGTTTTAATTCTGAAAACTAAAAGTGCTGTCCTTTGTGCTCTAACATTTTAAAACTAGTGATTATGTTTATATTCATATAGCAATTCTAGTAGACTAATCAATAATTTATGAAATATATCCTACATTTTAACAAGATTTCTGAGATGGGAATAATACCACTCTTTCTATGTAATGGAGATTTTAGATATGGCCTAACATTTGGGAAATTTTTCCTGTCTTTTAAAATTTTTTTTTTCAGAATATTTTAAATAAAACTATGCTTTTAACACTTGCATATTCTTCATCTTTTTTAAAAATAATGCTACATAGGTGATACATTTCCACATAGATATTTTTCTTTCAAAACCATGATATGTTATAGAACACAAGTGATTAATGTTTGCTTTGTCATTTGACAGCAGTGAGATATTTATTTCTGTTTTTATTATCAAGACACATGAAATGACCACATTGATTCTTGAAATGTCATTAACATCATGACTACATATTTCCTGCCTTTTGTTTCCTGAATTATCTTGGAGTCCACAAGACATGCGAATGGTTTACTTGTCCATGTCTTCTAATTTTGCTGTAGAGATTAAATGTAGCTATGTCTGTAATATCTGTACAACACAAAGATCTTCCCATTTTAATTAAAGTTCTTGTTTCAGCGGTATTGTTTCAAAGTTTCAGTACAATAATAACATTTGAACAGGATCCCAGATATGTGAGAGGAATCTGGCAAAATGGTACCCAACTACTTTATGTATGCTACACTTTAACATCTCCCTTAGTACTTTAAGAATCTAGAAATCTCTAGTTGACACTTGTAGATTTTTGATCCCCGTGTTTAACAGACTTTTTTTCTTTTGATTTCATTTTACTGTTCCAGTGAAAACTTATTGATCGTATAATGGGGATTGTGGGTGCTTCTTTTTAATAGCATGAGGCAAAATTATAGTTTGTGGAAAGAAAAGTTTAAAAGACCTTTAAACATAAATGCTCATACCAGTGCTGGGTATTAAAATTCAAAATATGTAGTAATTTCACTTATTATGTACTCAGCAGGATTTTCTCTAACATGTTCAAATTTTAGGGATAGTAAAGATTTTTTTTGAGGGCTCAGAGCAAATCTAAGTGTGTTTACCTCTGTCACCTGTCCATCCTCCCTCATGCTACTCCTCCCCAAAACAGGCAGAAAAGCACAGATTTTTTTTTTTACAGTTAAAATGAATGCCAATAGTTGTTTAAGGACAGATACCTCACAAAGGAGATCCTCAGAAAGATCTGAAAGAAGGTGGGTAGAGAAGTAATATTGTACTTTAGCTTACTGTCAATAGGATTTGTCGGGCGACTGTTATTAGGGGTTGCCCTAGATCTATTTTAATCTGCAAGCTATCTTTTCCAGAATCAGTACCCCTGAATCACTGCCCAGAAGCTTAGCTTACAGTTTCCTAGAAGAGCTTAGTGTCTTTTGGTGACAAAGTTTACTTAGGATAGGTTTTGTGTGGTGTACTGTTAGTTAGAGGTCACATTACCACTGCCCCATTTACTGTAGGTGTCTGTGCTCAGCCTTTAAACAGGTTTATCTTATTTCTAAATTACTATTCGTTTAACTCTTATTTGTATCATTCCTAATAAGTCTCACTAGCCCATTTAAATCTCCTGTTTCATTGTTTGCTTTTTTTCATAACCCATTCCAGTAGTATTTCTAATAAAATATGAAATAAGCTGAACTTTATGATTTATAAGACATTTTTGGCATTTCTAGACATATTTTTTCCTGCTTTACAATTTATATTCTGGACAAAACTATTCAGTGTGCCCCTATAGGTGATATATTAGAATTACTGAAAGAAAATACCTACTGCAGAAAACATGCTCTTAAATTAGAAGATTGTAGAATGACAGCACATTGATGAGAGAGGCCTGCTTTCATTAATAACATTTTTCTTCATTTACAAGATTCTCCTGAATTATTTTGGAAACTATGTACCCAATTCATGGACACAGGATAATGGCTGCACTAGTTGTGAATTTGATACAGTTGACTTGTCTGCAGTAGATGTAAGTGGAATTGATTATGTGTAAAATGTAGTAATAGAAAGTACATTGTTGCAATTTAAGGTAGAAAGTACATTGTTACAAAATACTGTGATTTATAGAAAAAAAAGCTAATTATTTTATAGTTTTGACTGTATGATAGATAACAAAATAATAGTGTTAAAACATGGTGATTCAGCCAATTGCTAGAGTTGTGTTTCAGAACTGTTTTTGAAAGAAAAACCAGCTAATAATTAAATCCAATGAAAGAGTCCTTTGGCTAATATTAATAGTTTACTATGATTGGGTACTCTTGTGTTTAGTCTGTTAGCTTAGCCACAGCATTGAGAAAAAATCGTTATAAGTCTTCAGCATTTTTATTGACTAATTTTTTCTGTGCTGGATTTTCAAAATTGGTGATTAAAAATTAATACTGCCTGATTATATAGCAAATGACTGTTCTAACTACTTTACATATAGTAACACTTTAAAACTTCACAAACATCCTAAAGTAGGAAGTATAATTGACTCAGTTTTGCACACGATAAAACTGAGGTGCATAAATATAAGTAATGTGTTTAAGAGAACACAATTTTAAGTTTTAGAGTTGGGATTTGAATTTAGGGAGTCTGGCTCCAGACTATATTCTTGTATGAAATGTTTATGCTAGGCATGGTGCTACTTGTATGTATTTCATAGACAATTATTGTTAGTTTTTATCGTTCATGTTTTAAGAGTGAACAAGGAGTTGAACATATTTCTTATCAATCTATAAAACATTTTTATGTATCTTGGTTCTAACATCAGCCAGAGCTGATATTCTACAGTAACATTTTTCTTCCAAAAAAACATTGTTCTCATAACTTGGAAGATTATGTGTATTAACAGTTGATTCCAGCGAGTTATTTTGTCATTAAGATTGATTTTTGCCTTCATTCACCATAGGTTCATTGAGTACCTACAGCAGCCAGATATGTAGAAGCAATATAGGCAAAAATTAAGCTCTTAGGAATATAGCACTACTAACTTCTGAACCCATGCAAATGTAAAATACTTTCACTGCAATATGTTCAAGCTCCTAAATTAGTTTCTCTTCTTATCATTGTCTGAAAAGAGTATAAAGAGTAACTTGTGTACATGTAGGAGCTTATGAATAGAGCCCTATTTTACTTGAAAGTAAGTTTTTTGGCTGGTCTCTCAGATAGCAAACTGTTTCCTATCTGGAAAGAATACCAGAATATTTCTGAATGAAGCTGCATCATGAAGACGTTTAAAAATTTATCCTGATCTTTTTTGTTGAAAATAATGTTGTCTTCTTGAGGGCAAGTTAATAATTTTATCTTTTTTGTTTCCTTTTATATAAATTTTCTGGTGCAAAGATAGAAAAATATTTGTATTAACATTTTTTCCTTTTGCATGTAGGAGTACATAATTTAATACTTAAGCTATTTTGTCTTACAGCTTGTTAAAATGTGCTAGAAAAGAAGCTGTTCTTTCCATTATGCACAATAAAATTATGTGCTGTACACAGTTATTTTTCAATAGGGATATGAAAATTAAAATTGTCTATGTAGTTAAATCCCAAGCCTATCATAATGTTAGATGTGAGATACAGGCAAGTTTCTTTGTATTTAAAGTCATAGTGGCTCTCTCAGAGTGTTGTTAGGAATGTTAAATGAAATTTTACACACATATATATGATGAATAAATATAATGAATATATAAATGATATTTTATTTGTGTAAATTTAATATACGTATATGAAGTGGTCAGCCTTCAATAAATGTTAACTATTGTATTGTTATTATATAAACATGAACTTAGGTTAATAATGGTGAGGTAGTGGATCAAAACCCAGCACTTTACCTACACATATATGTGTTCTGGGTTATTGAAATTTCTCTAAATCTCATTTTCCTCATGCAAATTTGGGAAAATAACTTCTAAGGCTTTTATAAAAATTAAATAAAATGTATCATGTCATTTGATAAAGGAGAGTTGTGATCTATTTTTAATTCTTTTTCCTATTAAATCGAGAACTACTAGAGAGTAGATAATTGTGTTAAGTTCTTTGTATTTATTTACTAATATGTATTTGGGCAAGTGAATGAATGGACAGACTAAAGAAGTAATGATAGTGGACAATGTGTACTTTTATGAGAGCATATATTATTATACAGATAATGGAGGAATGTGTGAGGTACCATGTGTGGAAAAAAATGGAAGCAGGTTACTAATTCAGCACTTAATGTATAACGTATTTAAAAACATCTGTAATTGCTTTGTTCAGACTTTAAGACATGGCTTTACTAAGACATTATAAACAAGTCTTCCACAGATTTCTGGAAGATTTCCTTAGCTTTAATAAGACATTAAAAAACAAGTCTTTCATAGATTTCTGGTAATGACACTCTTACATGGGTGTTACTTATGTTTCTGTCTTCCCCATCTACTTGTAAATCTTTCAAGCCAGGAACTTTCATTCCTTTTGCTAAATATTGCCCATGATGTGGACTGGCATGTATAATGTATATTTCAAAATTGTTTGTGCAATTAATGTAGGATAAACTCCACACTAAAACATATCTAAAGAGAACTTAAGAAAATATATTAAAATATATACATTAACATAAGAGATATTAATATTAATGAAAGAAAATAGCTATCAGCCCTGAACACAAAAAGAGAAACACAATCAGTATTTGGTTTCTTAAGATGAAGCTTTCAAAATAGCTTTCAGATGTGAAGAAGTTTCCGTAAGGGCTATTTTAAAGGAAGCATTGACTAGTAGAGTAGGCAGTACCATGAATTACATTCATGTAATAAAATATGATAATTTCATCTTTAAACCTAACTCATAACCAAGATGGGATTCAGTAAAATGACTGTGATGGGGGGCAGGGGCAGAAAAATTTGTTTCAAGTGTTGGAGAACTGCCACAGAGCAATTCAAATTTAGCAGATTATGTTGAATTGGTATCCTAGCATTTTTTAATGTCATGCTGATTAAGATTGAATACAATTTAAAATAAAACCACACTAATGATATGTATTTTTTTAATGTTTGATGTAAAACAAAGGTCCATCCAAGTGTAACAATAGGTGTTTTTATTGAGCAACCAACTCCTTTTCTACCTCGATTTCTGGACATATTGTTGACACTGGATTACCCAAAAGAAGCTCTTAAACTTTTTATTCATAACAAAGTAAGTATTTGAGAAATGAATAGTTTATGTAAAAACTATTTTTGGTCTTTTTTGGAATGATTTGTTATTTAATTTGTGTCTAATAAAATTCACTGGGCTAAGTTCAGTGGAGGATTTTTGGAGTAATTATAGCCCTGCCTTTTTAGGACTAAGGATTTTTGAGTCTAGGGACTAGTACCACAATATTGGTATAAGCCACATGAAACTGCCAGTTTCCGTAGATCAAAAATGGCTGAACATTAGCCATCATCATATAGCTTCAATTAATATATAATAAAGGAGCCATAAAAGGGCCTTAAATTCCTTTGCCTTTGTGTTAGTTCTGGTACTTTCTTTTCAAGAATTATCATTAAATTGTTTGCAATTTAAGACAATAACATATCATCAGAACTTGTAACAGTTTCCAGATAGAGTACTGTTTTGATTAAGCACACAATGGCATGCTCTTCCCCAAAGGATTTTGATACTGTCATTTTCTTCAAAAATATTCAGAGCCTCCCTACATACCTCCCACATATTATCCAAACTTAGAGATTTTTTTGTTAATATTTTTTTTCAGCTATTTATCTCTTTTCTACTAAAATAGTTGGTATTTAACATTGTCTAGAAAAACTCAATAGCTGTGAAGTATGTAATTTTCTCTCTTCTGTCCTAATACTGTTTACAATTATTCATTTTTCCTAATGTACATATCAGCTAACTGTTCACATTTTCTAGAGAATATTTTAACTTTGCAGAAAACCAGCTTAAATAGGTTTAAAGGGATAAAAAATTGAGCATTTGCTTTGTGAAATATGTTATAATACATGTGCTTACACTAAAGTATTTTGTTTTTATGTGTTGTCTTTTATTTATATTTTCCCTTGTTTCATAGGGCCTTAAAATCCTTGATGGAGGAATTTTTTGTCTTATCTTCTGTTATTTAATATTAACTCTATGTTGCTTTTATGTGATGTGATTTTAACAATCTGCAAAAAAGCAACAGCTTTTCAGAAAACTTAGAGACTTGACAAATAAAAATCTCTGAAATGCTCTAATGATGGAGACATAATCTTATCTGAATTTTAGCATAGTTGAATCACGCTAAAATTGGTAACATTTATGTTGATGGTTTTTCCAGTAATCTGTCTGTAGAATATTCTTAAACTTTTCCTTTTTTTGCTAAATAAAAAAGTTTTTATATGACCATTTACTTTATTCTCTGGTTTCAAAGAGTATTTTTTAAAATGTGATTATTTAAATTTATAATTCAGATTGATGGCTATTATGCTTAATAGACATTTTTTTCCTTGATATTTTACCACACATATCTAAGATTTCCAGGCTACAGGCCGTATTTTCCTTCTCCAATTGGAAACATTTTATAGTACTAAGGATTTAAGTATTTATGCAAGAACCTATTAAAGATTTAAATATTTATACAAAGATTTGTATAGCAGTAGATTTGGACAGAATTTTAAAGCAGCTTCTCTTTTAAGAATATTGACATATGTATTTAAGATTATTCATGTGATATTTAATATTGTTATTTTATGTGTAATTGAATATCTGAATTGTAGAATTCACAACTTTGAATATGAAGCACTTTTTACATATGAATACTCCAGTCATCTTATTGTCCTATTTTCTCTCTAATATTTAATTTTCAAAATATTTTACAGGAAGTTTATCATGAAAAGGACATCAAGGTATTTTTTGATAAAGCTAAACATGAAATCAAAACTATAAAAATAGTAGGACCAGAAGAAAATCTAAGTCAAGCAGAAGCCAGAAACATGGGAATGTATGTTTTAATAAATTAAAATTAAATTGTTCTAAATAAACTTTAAGAAAAAATAAATTGTTAATAAAATTGTTATGCCATATTTGGATGTCTCAGACTATTTGTGTTTGTGTAAGCAGTAGCTAACTGTTAGACTGTGTCTATGTATGTATTTATATGTAAAGGTCTGTAGAAGTTACTTTTTTTTTAAAATGGCTACGAGTTAACATATTTAATCAAACTACAAATCAATATTTTTTAAAAATGCAATTAAATGAATAGTATGACTTTTATAGCAGTGACTTAAATGTATGCTCTGAAAGTTGTGTATGGTAAAACTGTGTTTTTAGACAGCGAGGGAAAAAGAGTGCTCTTACTCTCCAGTGACCCACTGATCTAGATAATACTGTAAAACTAAAAAGGGGTATTGTAGGCCTTTTGTTTAGTCCTTATAATACTTCATTCTACTAATAAACTCTAGTAATAGTAAAAACAAT